GGGTAGGATGCACCCCGCCTTGCCCCAAACGACAACGGATCACGTCATATCCACCAACAGTACGATGCCACGTCCACACCGGCGGACCACACCCGTGTGCGACACTTCGCGCCACCTCAACAGTTGATAAAGATAAATAAATATACAAAATACATATGTAAATAAAGAAACCTTCTTTATTACTATATGGAGTGCCCGTGGTTTTTAGACACGCACGTAACCCTTCCCTTCGATATTTACAGTTACCAGAGCCTTCAAACAACATACTTTTTACTGTACAACTCTCTGAAATAACTATCAGTTATTTATCACCACAACGACAATGCCTCGAACACTTGCTTTAAAGAAGCCTTCACCTGTTCTGCTCTTTTTTCCTGGCGCGGTAACTATGTGATTGTGCTACTACTCCATTGGAACTCGTGGTAGAGTAGGTGAGCGACTAGAACTCCAGTATCAGGCTTCCGAAGGGAGCCCTATGGGGGATGCCCTTCCTTCTCTTGGCGCTGCTGAGGCTGGCGGCGGTCGGCGGCGGCGTCGACGGAGTGAAGCTGTGTGTCACATTGCTCTTCTCGCTGCCACGGCTGGTGCTCGTGTAAGACTCATCTGTGTCTGACTCCGTCGTTGACTTTATCTTGATGGCCTCGTGTAGGATTTTGTTCTTCCTCTTGCGGTCCGGTGCGGTGCCGGCCATCTGAAACGGACATTTCGCCAAACAATTGGTTAGGGAAGGAGATTGCAGTTGAATGATTGATGATGCCGCAGAGATTGAATCAAATGGCATGGAGGTGGGGACCTTGCAGCCGAGGGAGCAGAAGCGGAAGGAGTCGAGCAGGCTCCGGCCGCAGACCTCGCAGCTGTTGGTGACGCCCTTGCGCGGCCTCGGCTGGGGGCGTTCGTTGAGGAAGACGACGCGGGCGCTGTTGATGATGTACGTCTGCACGCCGGTGAGGTCCAGCACCTTCTGGATCTCGGAAACTCTGATCACGTCGTGGTAGGAAGACCTCCGTATCTGCAACCAACAGCAGGAGAGAACAAGCTCGTCATCGCAAGGAATTCGATCGATCGCTTGGTTTCTGCGAGACGGAGAGAAAAAGGGCGGGAAAAGTTGGGAGTTGAGCGACTAGAATCGAGGGAAGACACTGATGATGCAGTTCTGTATAAGAAGTTTATGGTGATAAGAAACAAGGAGATCGTCGAAGGAACCATTTCCACGGTAGGACAAGGAGGTCGGCTTCTAGTACAATCGGAAGAAAGGCTCACCGAAAGCAGACAAGCAGAAGATGAAATGGACCTGAATCGGGTGGTGGCCGCTGTGGCGGTCGAGACAGAAGGAACAGAGGGCGCCGCTCATGCAATCGAGACAGTACATGTTGCATTCGTTCCTGTGGGAATCAGCGTGGTACTTGCATTGGACGAAGAAGTTCGTCGACAGAAGCGGCCGCAGCCACGGTGGCCACCGGCCTCCCTCCTCCTCCACCGTCCCTCCTCCACCCTGTTCCATTCCGTATCACTATCATCAGAATCCCACGCCAAAGCAAATCGCTGCCAGCTTTCGAACGCAGCAATAACCATTTTTCGCAAACAACGAAGGAGAAAAGAAACATCACCATGGTTCGCCTGTTCTTGATGTTTAGCTCTCTGAATGGAGATTCTCGATCATTAGACAAAAACCCTCCTTTCTTCTCTGCTTACTTGAAGTTGCCGGAATCAGACAGCTGACAGAAAGAGGAGAGGAAAGATTTCAAAGGAGAGAGAAAGAGAGAGGAAGAAAGCAGAAGCATTCGCCAGAAGGAGCCATTGTTGACTTGGAGAGAGAATGGGGGTGTGGGAAGGAGCAGAGAGTGGAGTCGCTCTTATCCTCTCACAAGACTTGTAAGAAGCGTTAATTGCAAGTAACTTTTTTTAGCTTTTCATCTCCCCCCATCATCATCCCACACCCACTTGTTTATTCCTGATGCATGTCTCTGTCTCCCTTCTCTTTCTCTACGTTATTTCCCGTGCTTTCATGGCTTCATGTTTGCTGCTTCTGTGCCCGTTCCTCTTCGGCCCAATCACAACAATGCCATCGGGCTCGAGTTCATTTCACAGGCCTAATAGCTGCGACTCGTTCCACACGCTCTCTTATTTTTGAGGGTCAAAGTCCATGATGGGGGCCAGTTCAGCACTGAGGAATTGGAATCTTTCGTTAATGGAGTGTTTCTCCCATCTGCCATTAAAAATTCCATTTAACACTGGGTCCTACACCCCGCAATGTGGGACCTGCGGACACTTGATTGATTGAGCTATGATTGTGTTCTTTAATTGAATCTAGATAGCTTCTCTGAAAGCGATTACTACCGGTCTGATATGAAAGAATAACTTCAATTATTTTGTAAAAGAATATATTAACTAAATTATATAATTACAAGAAGAACTCTATAGATTATTAGAGTATAAAAAATGGATCAACCGAGAGTACAATCAATGCTCTCTTAGTTTGGCTTGCTGCCGCTGTCGTGTAAAACCTTCAAAGCCTGCTGCGGAGTCAAATGTTTGAGATCGAAGAAACCACATGGAGACGACACGCGTGCATTGCTGTGGCTGCAAAGCTACTGAATGGCATCCCTTGTTTCCCGTGTAAGGCCGAAATGTGCGGGATATTTGGGACTTTGTTGCTGCTACCGCTGTTGTTGCTTCCTGTAGCATTGATTGCAAACAATAATATTCCAGCAGCTGCAATGATAATGATAATGATAATAATAATATCTCCTGTTTTGCCCTTGGGAAATGTGATGCAGACTGATGGGCCAACAATATTATTATGGGCTCAGTCGATTACTCTTGGACTCGGGAGATGCCAAGTCACGACCCAACAGGTAGATATGGCACCATGAATGGGCTCTGCCTCGTCACCTACGTTGGCACCTGCAGCCCCAGCTAGTGAAGGATGAATGACCCAGCTTTTGATGGATTACGTCTTTCGCTAAATGTGTATGTCTCATCCATCTACCTGCCTGCGTACCTACCACTGCATCGAATAGTGATCGTGCGATAGTTTCACTACACACGCACGCATGTCAGAACTCATCAGTAGTCGCGTAGCCATCACCTCACACCTCTCTTGTTGTCGACATGATCTCTCGCCCGGTGATGGGTAACGAGCTGCTTCAATCCTGCAGCTATCACCTCACGTCACAGCTCGCACGGATCCTCCTCTCCTTCTTCCGAAGCACTAAAGTAGCCAAGCCTCTCCACTGCTGTACGAACAAACAAAGGCTCCTCGATCTGACGATTAAATCTGAGAGCCTGATCATCTTTATCGTGTCATGTTCGACGCCGATCACATCAAAATCTCTCCTTTCTTGATTTCCCTTCCCTTTCATCCTTTCGCCGCTGCATTGGATCGGAAGAAGCACACACACACACACCCCCCAAAAGCAGAGCTCACGACTCGAACACGGTACTGATCGAGCAGGGATACAGGTCACAGAAGCACGGAAGTAGGGGATCGCTCTCGATTGCCTTACAGACGACATGCCAAAATCTTGGAGGAAAAAGGAAAAATACTCGAAGAAGATCACGATAACGAATCGAACTGTGAGTAAATCTTCGTCTGGTCAAAGCGAGATCATGTTATCAGCAGCCGTTCCTATTAAAAGTTTGGATATGGAAATGATCATGATCATATGCTGCTACATCCCTGTTGTTGGTTAGTCCTAAAGATCGCTGGACCATTGCATCATATGCTATCCATGTGCACTACCAAACCTTGGTCGCCTCCTTTCACCTCACCTGCCCAAAACTAAAAGCATAAAGCAGCACAGCTTATATCCTGCAAAGATTAGATATAATCATGCATGTTCTTGTCATATGGTCATCTGGGCTCCATTTTGATGTAGTAGTAGCAGTCAAGGATCGCGGCAGCAGATTGGATCGGTTTGATTAAGAACAGGAAACCACGACGACAGCCAATCGATAGCATTCTTTGATGTTCGAAACTAATCATTTCATAAGAAAAAATAAACATTGTTTATGTTTGACCAAAACTTTTTTATGTTTCGAAATGTTTTCGTAAGCAGATCTTTGACTAGGTAAAAGAAGGAAGATTAAATGATGACTTTTACTTATTCAAACAAGTTGCAGTGTCTTTAAGACAAAGCGACGTTGGGGCTTGTTCATACGTGTGGTTGACTCGAGTTCTGTCAAGCTTTGGGCATAAGTTGAAACTGAAGACGCTGTCCTCGGACTTGGTTGGATCATACTAAATCGTATTAACGTGGGAGTGGACAAAGTCTTCTAATTCCCACCGGGCAAGGGCGACCGTAGAAAAGCTTAAAGATTAGTTTAAGCTCTAAATAGCTTTGAGAAAGATGCCGTTTGTATGTAGCTGTTGTCGATGTTGAGCCTCCCATATGCGTAGAAGAAACGAGAATGGGATGAGGGCGATGTCACTTTCGCGATGCATCAATACACCACAAACGAAGGGGTTGGTGAAGCCGCCCGCCCCATTTAATTCCGAGGAAAAGCAGAGTCAATAAATGCAGGTGGCCCGAACACCCTCTCCTCCAAGACAAAGTTGCAGATATTGATCTGGATATAAATAAAATTGCACTGGTTAGCTTACCGAGCAGATCGCGTATGAATCGCCCTTGGTAATTCGTATCGATTTGATTCTATACACCCGAGTATGACATGAATACCACTGACCGTAGGTGTGCTCGATCCAGTCTTAAAAGTGCTTGTCATGTAAGCTACGAGCATGACGAAGCTCTCTGCTCATCAAGGCCGTCGTCGACGTAAGCTGATGCAGCAGAGACCAAGTTGGGGTCGCGTGGTGGAGTCTAAACCCACGGCTTGATGTGCGAGTCCACCGCGTAGCCACTGGCTGTGTGCTACGTGGCGCCAGAGATCGACTGCTCATGGCGCCCCAGCGAAACGAACGGCCCATGATAAAGGCGTGTGGTGTCGTCGTAAATAATCGAAAGGCGATGGCATGACTACGCGGCGCTGCCTCCCCTATTAATAAAAATTGACAAGCCACCGAAAGCTTCGCCGTCTCCAAAAACTGCGAAACGAGAGAGAAGCGAAGGAAGAGCGGAGGATGGGAGCCGATCAGAGATCTACGACTGAGTCAGCGGTTCCGTGGTGGAGGAACGAGGAGGAGGAGAAGGTGGTAGAGGAGGAAGCCGGATGGAAGTGCTGGAAACACCCGCTGCAGCCCCACTACGGCGTCTGCCCCGCTTGCCTCCGCGATCGCCTCCTCCGTCTCTGCCCCGATTGCGCCAGCGTCCGACCCTGCGGCTGCTTCCCCTCCCCCTCCTCCTCGGCCTCATCCTCCTCTCCCTCCTCCGCCGAGCTGGCCGGACCCGGCGGGGTGGGCCGCGGCACGGGTGTGGGGGCGGTGGGGCCCATGTCGCGGCTCATCGACAGCGAGCCATCGTTCCGGAGGTCCCAGTCGGTGGGGTTTCCGCTACTCCGGTCGACGTCGGTGTCGGCACCCCTCGTGGACGACGTAGCGGCGGCGCCGAGATCGCGGGGTAGCGGCAAAGGGTGGACGCCGTTCTTGCTATTCTCGAAGGCGGCGAGGAAGAAGGATTCGGCGGGGTCGGAGCTGTACAGGTCGAGGTCGGTGGCAGCGGGCCGAGCCCAGGCCGCAGGCTGCGGCGACGAGGAGGAGGGAAAGGGGAAGGGAGGGCGGCGATGGTACTTTCCGAGCCCGATGAAGGTTCTCCGGCACTGGAAGTCGGCGACGAAGGTGGTGCAGGAGCGGTCGCCGCTGTGGCGCGGGTGAGAATCTGTGCACGCGACAAAAAAGAAAGATGTCCGGAGGAGGAGATCGTGCGCTTGCATGAGCGTGGATGTATTAGCATTAGCATTGGTATTGTTATTGTTACACTCGTCGACGCTGCTGCAATATATTATATGCCTTGGAAACCAACCTCGCAAGTGGAGGTGATTAAGATCGATATGCCTTGTGAGATTTCTCGTTTATATCTCCAATTTTCGAGCTGTGATGAACCGAGGTCCGTCGTAAAGTCTTCAATGATGCGATCGGATGCGGGCCGCAGGGTGAGAGAAAGTAGAGAACGGAGAAGGAGACTTTTCGAGGGGTGGCACGTGCAGGGGCAGCCGTCCGTGCACGTGCAGACGTCGTTTCCTCCTTTTGAATCTCATGTTCTTCCTACTGTGCTGATCATGTAATCGGATTGGGTGGTCGACGTTGTTTCTCCTCTTTCTTCTGGCGTCGATACAAAGCATCTTTTGTAATTGAATTCAGCACATCGCTGTGCATGGACGACTTTTTCTCTCTCTCTCTCTCTCTCTCTCTCTATCTCCGGCCAAAGCTGTAGTGAAAGCAAACATTCGAGTGATGAACTTGATACTGATAATTGGCATCATAGCAATCAACCAGAATGAACCCATCGCCATTAGAAGCGACTTATGACCTACCGATCGGTGTCGTCTGCCATGAAAAAGGTGAGGTTTGAAACCAGACTCATAATTAAGGAAAAGGCATCTGAGGGACTCGAGAAAGCTACTTGTTGTTGGGTATTGGGTTTCAACAACCAGCATTAACCTCATTCTCTCCACTGGGAGTTATGTTTTCGTGTATATGGATTCAGCTCTTAGTCAAAAAAGGTAAAAAGAAGGTTAAAAAAACCCGTCTTTGTTTAACACTCTGTCATGTTCTTCTTCATGTTTAGAGATATTCTAAGAGAATTCAACTCGAGTTAAGAGCTTTTTTCTATTCTGATTTAAAGTACAACATGATTTTTTTTTCCTTCTAAACTGCCAAATTAATAAATTATTAGTTATTTAGTTTGGCGACAGAGTATAATTTATACAATGGTGATTTTAGAGCTGTTTCCCCGTTCCCATCTCATGTCGACACCTCGCAATCTCATCTCATCTGGTTTGATTTAATTCACAGAAATCAAGAAAAGGATGAGTTAGGAGAGGAAAAAATCAATCTTTAGGTGTCGTCTGTGCATAACAACATCTCATGTCTCGTCCCGAGAGCTCAGGGCGATGCCATCTGACGTTGCTCCACACGTCCCGAGACGACAGCCAGTCAGAAGTACCGTCACATCCCTCGAGGATTAGCGGTCATATCGAACCTGTGTGCAATCGACCCTCGTACAATAGTATAAAAGTCTCTGGCCAACATCTGACCATGAGGGGGGCAAAAAATAAACAATTCAACCCACGACTGACATGCTCGTCAGAGGGGCCAAAGTCGGGAACCACCCGACGAAGATCATTTTTGTAAGAAAGCGATCACTCTCGACCTGCGAGCATCCCAGCCTTGGAAGTCATCGATCGATGTCCCCACGATGAGCCATCAACCAGCACCCGGTCTGAGAGATGCTGTTCAACACCTCGTTGCGAGAATCTGATCGACCTCAACATCCAGCTTAGTCGACAGAAAACTCTCGACATCGATCCGTGGACCAGACCATATTGACTCATCAATGCGACACATTTGTTCACCAACACCTCTCTCTTCTTTTTGCACCTGTCTGTCGGCAGCAGCGCTACGCTCTGCTTACTTTCCTCCCCCCCCCCCCCATATATAAGCCTAAAGAAGACTGACTCCCACTTGGCCAAGTTTGCTGTTTACGGTATCATCTTTAAGGCGATATACCACACCAAGAAGCTGCTGTAGGTGATCGATTCGTTGAAGCTGGTCCTCTGAGTTCCTTCTCCTCCCCTATCAGTTTCTCAATCATTTATCCTGCAGCATTGTTTTCCTTTTAATCTCGGTCGGAGGGTCTACGATTCAGAACGTATCTCCCTCTAAATTTAAGATAATAGGTTCAGATCGTATGCTTACTTTTTGCTGCAGTTCTTCAAAAATTATAGTCTTTGATTTACAGTAATTTAAAATTATAACTTAATAATCGGTATGGTGGGATTAGACATTTATAAAGGTAAAGTCACTTTTGTTGTAATGGTAGAAATAAATTTACTGTTATCTTTATTCTTTTATTTTATTTTAATTATAAATTACAACTTGATTGTTACAATATAGTGTTATAGATTTATCAGATGGATTTATAAAAGGAATACTTTTTAAGAATATTTTTTATTGTAATATAATTTAATTTCATAAAATATAAAAAAATATAATTTTATTTCTTGGATGACCAACTAAAAATGAATAAGGAACCACTAATAGATCTAGAATTTTATTTCTATAGTGACTTTAGCAAACACACAACTTTCTATTTTACTATTTTTAAGACCAAAAATTTTAATTTTCTTATACTATTGTCTAGGTACTTATTTAAGCTCTTGTATTGATCTGTTCAATTCACATACTTTATGCTCATGACCTTTAACAATATAACCTTTAGGTTGATTTATGTAAATTTCTCTACCACCATATAAAAATACAATCTTTACACCCATTTGATATACTTGAAGATTGTATATAGATGCAATAGCACACATTGTTTTGATAGATTTAAATTTAGTTATGGGAGAAAACGTTTTAAAATAATCTACTCTCCTTTTTTTGAAGTAAAATCTTTAACTACTAGTTTTGTTTTATATTTATCCGTTATTTCATCAGTTTTGAATTTCTTCTCAAAACACACTTTTAAGTAATATAAATTAATCAATCCCTAGCCCCTATTAGAGTGTTATTGGATTGGTAAGAAAGGAAAAAAAAAAAGGGAATATAAACAACAAATGTTTTATCACGATTGATCTATGCTTATTGTGCGAGAACTTTCGAGCAATCGTTGTTCAAAAACTCTTTGATTTAATTTCTTAATTTAGATATTTTAATTTATAATAAGTAAGAGTAAATTAATTCTCTTTTCTAAATTATATTTATTCCAACAAAAGTGAAATTATTTTATCAAAACTTTTATTCAAGAAGCGGTATTAAATCGACGAATCATTGAACCCAAATCTTATATGGATCAGGTGGTGTACGATATCAAAGTAACATTCTCTTACCTATTGAAGGTTACCACTAAGCAAGGATACAAAACCTCTAGAGAAGAGTTTCAAGAGTTAGAGTTGTACTCAATTGATGAAAGAATTACCGATGAGATGATTAATCAAATAGATGAAGATTGTGATGGGTTGGATGCAAGCCCAAGCCAACCCACCAATAAGGGACAATCGAGTAAAGAATATCATAGATAAGGAGGGAGAATCATCTTTATTCGATGGATGTAACCGTGAAGAAGATGTTATCAAGCATAATATCATAGCAAGAACTTGACCTTTTCAATTTTAGGCTCGCATGGACATAAATGGCTTGATCAACACTAAAGCATTAGACTCATTGATAAATCAATTTAAAATTTATTTTGATCTGTATGATTACAATTGTGAGGATATAGTGATGCTTATATGACTCAAGTTGAATGGGCATATATATGTATGGTGGAAAGTCTATCTTTGGACTAACTGTTAGGAAATCTTGGGGGTGACATCACATGCGTAGTAGAAGAACATAAAACAAAATCCTCAATTCCGAAAGATATGTCCGTCGTCGTACGAAGATTGATGCGTAAAAATTCACAAAACAAGAAACCATATATGAGATAGATTGTGTTACCTAGGGAGATCGTATATCTCTGAATCCCTGCAAATCTCTATGAAAGGGTGAAGAAAGTCAAGCATCCTCCTCTCTAGTGGTAATCCACACAGCAGGGTTGCGACGATGCTCCTCAAAACTTCAGGTGTGCTTTGAGGTGGAGAGGGGGAGGAGAATATAAGAGGCAAGCAAACTACTAATTTCCTCCTATTTATAGCCCTGTTAACTTAACCCTAATGGATCCTACCTATTGAGTATTGGATCTTCATCCAACTACCTAAGCCTCTTAGATTAGTGGATCTCTATCCAAGAATCTTACATGGGCTCTTATTAGATCTCATCCATATGATCCAATAATTCAAGGGCTTATTGGATATTTAATAAGATGGGGGCTCCAACGGATATCTCATATCAGAACCTCTACTCATTGCAATGCCTACCATATGTATGTGACCCTCTAGGCTCAATATCGAGCTAGCTGTGAGTTATACTTGTCAGAACTCCTTTTGGCTCAGTGAATTATTATCTCCATAATAATTCACTTGACTCATCGACTGTGGATGTACTATGCCACTATGTTACAATCCTTAAACGATATAGGAGAATCCAATCCATTGGACATATTTATCTTCAGTTATCGTGTACCTATAGTCCCTCATCCATCTAATATCCCAGAGACTGTATATTGGGTATAGTGCTATCAGACTCATACAGTTTCTACTCGAGTCTCGTTCTAATCGGATTCTACCAGAGAACTCTTTCTCTCTCAATCCGAATGACCCTAGCTAGGGATTTGTCTGAGCAAGAATACATGGGACATTCCTCTCATGACACCGAGAGTGGATGATCGTCTATCGATACTTAATAATCCTCGTATGGTTGGCTACCACGCCCAATGACCGACTATACTAGATCTAGGACATCCAAACATATAAGTTTGGTATCAAAGAGTGGAGCACTCATACAAGATATCCTTGGTGTCTCAAATCTAAGGACTAGATACACCACTGGGACTACGAAATCGTTGTTTGACAATAAAGTATCATCAACTATTTAGTATTCTGTAAGCGAATTAATCAATGAACTCATTCTCCAATGAGCACCTGTAATGTATCCCTAGTGTTCCCACACGAGCAACTATGAGACCAGTTGCATCCATCATATGGATGAGTATACAACACATCAGTCTATTCGGTTATCTCGATATCCCTCTCAAGTAATCTATGACCGGGATTATTTAGGATCTGTGTTTAAAGGTAAATCAGTCTCATTATCATGATCTCATTACGATCCGATTCCCATTGCACGGATCTAAGGACATCACAATATATATATATATATATATATATATATATATATATATATATATATATATATA